GTGTGACACGCATCAATCACATCCATAGCCTCTCCATTCTCCTTCTCATTTCATGTGTTTTGTGAAGAGTTGTTTCGCTGGCCCTCTTTTACGCGTATTTGTTGGTGCAATCACAATCACCACATCTTCATCAGTAAGTGTTGTTGTGCTTTTGATTTTGTGTTCCTGAAAAAAAAAAGCACCAATGACAAAGTAATTTGCTATGTTATAAAAGCAAATAACATAGAGTATGGTATTATCTTTTGATTTTGTAATCAACTCCTCGTCTTTTTCTAGAGTAAATGTTTCAAAGTCTATTTTTAATAAGAAGTCATACTTTAACTTTTTCTGCATCGATTGCTCCAACAGTGATGAAATGTTTTGTGAATGCTTTATACATTCTCCCTTCCAATTCCTCAACAAGTTTAGCTTTTGTTTTGAATCTGAAGTCTCCCCTGACAACTTCCTCTATGAATCTAAATTCTCGCCTAAAAACTTCTTCAATGAATCTGATTTGTTTTTAATTTGTTTTGTTTTTGTAACTCATATCTTAGACTAGTCTCCATAGTTTTTTGTATAACTCACACATTGAATTTTGAAATTGTGCCTTAATAACTAAAACAACTAGGTCCACTACAATACGTAATCAATGTTAAGATTTTCTAACCTTTCTAATCATATAGTTAATGATCACTTTAGATATGACCAAACTTTTAGCTGGATTTTTTCATTAGAAATTTAGTTTTATAAGATTTGAAATTATGGTGGATTTATAAAAACACCTATTAATATTTTAGAGATTCAAAATTTGAGTATCATATATGCATCCGTGGACGATAATACATATGAACACTTTTTGCACATGTTTCATATGACGTTTGTTACTACTAAATGACATGTATCATAATTATGACGTTTGTTACTACTAAACACATATGACATGTTTTATATCAAAGCTAAAACTTTGTCATAATTATGATTATATTCACTTCAAACAGATGACAATAAGTTATGTAAAAGAATATATATACATTCACTAAATGACTTAAAATCTTCAAAGACAATTTTGCAATGATTAGAATAAACCATGTTAATCAGGTAGATAACCATCCAAATGAGAGCTTGTCTATTGTTGGATATATGATGAATAGTACTATCGTCTCCCTAATGTTAAAAATGAGTTTTGTGATCAATGACATTTTGTAATTAATTTAAATTAGGAGAATAATATAATTTTTTTTTTACCAGTAATATCATAAAGTTCAATCCTAATACCAGTAATATCACCATCAGCCAGGATCATGACACGGCATATCTCAATGAGTCAACAAGACATTTTGTATCCCGCTTCAGCCCAAGCATCTTCATGAGGTTCTGGATTTCCTTATTCGCATAATAAGTGTTTCTATTGTCTTCATTTACATTCGGTAAGTTTCTCAGAAGGAGATAAATCTCGTAACGGTCACGATCTTCACCAGACAGACCCGCCAAACCCGCCAACTAGTAATTAAAGAGGATAAGGGGGTGTTAAAAGTATCAATTTGTGCATGGTAAAAGCATAACAACTAGTTTTTCAAAAAGATTTTAAAAAGTGAAAACATCAATCTTATAAACTGTTTCAGTGTTGTACTATCTCAAAATATATTTAACTTGTTAAAAACAACCATACATTTCTCGAGATTTTCTTTTGAAAGATTGAATGTAGGAAGCTCCTCGCTTTAGTAATCATTTTGTCTTTCGTTTGGAAATCAAAACAAGGGTTGTCAAACATGCAATTTATATACACAGATATATGATCCTTCACATTACGGGCCTCCACGTGAGCACAATTAGTTCTCTTCTTCACGATGCCCAAATTGTACTTAGTGATCATGTTTGTCACGTAATCAACATGTGAACCACATTTAGTTGTGGCTACGAAGTTGACAAAGCTGACCTGGTATCGGAAGAGAAACATTGTTAAGAGATTACTTAATCTTCATTCATTAAATAGCAAGCCAATTATATGTATATATATACGTGCTGAAACTGTGCATCACTTAAGCTCACAGTAACCTCTCATCTATCACTGACTTGCGTAGCCACCATCCTAATCTCACACAAAACTCAAAGATCGAAAATCAATACAAAAACAAACAAGAAAATCTTATTCATTAAGCAAACAAACCTTTTATGGAGTGAATACGCCCGTGATTTATTGACTGCACTTAGGCATTTATGTGCATACTCACAGAATGGCTTCATGCCAATTATTTTTTTCATTAAGGTAAACCTTAAAATTCGGGTATGGTTTAGCTGCTTTTTGAAATGTTTTAATTCTTTGCTGAGAGCCCGCAATATCCACCACACGTTTAATCATCAGAGCAACGACATCAGCTTCTAACTGAGTCATGCTAAACTTGTTCAAATCAAGCTTGAAAGTGACCCTTGTCCAATTTTCACTCTTCTTGCAGCGGGTTATCTCTGGTTCAAACTTCTTTGTCATATTGTTTTCAAACACTTGCACATCACCAGAAAGGTTAAGTTCCACAACATACTGTATCATTTGATGCTAGAACATGTATGAGTGTAAATTCATCCTTAATCAAGGGAGATACTAAATCAGTAAGAGAAGAATCATAAACCGAACGAAACACCATGTCAATTTAACCAATAAACTACATGCCTACATGCTTGTAGCGTTTCTGATTCTTCCCATCTACTGTCTCAATGGTGGATTGAGTAGAGAAGATGTTGGCAAGCTTAGCACCAAGCCCGTTTCTTCCACCAGTAGTCTTCTTCACACTGGCCTCGTAATTATCACTTGTCAATAAATGCCCAAATATCTATTCAGGCAAATAAATCCCTTTTTCGCTCGTGAATCTCCACGAGACATTTTTGTAATTAATTTAAATTAGCCAAAGCTAACTTGTTTACTCAAGAGTGAGTTTTCAGATTCT